GCCTAGCAACCAAACGAGGATGCCCTTCTGCACGTGGAGGCGGTTGGCGGCTTGTTCGACGACGAGGCTGCGCTCGTGGTCGATGACGCCGTCGGTGACCTCTTCGCCGCGGTGGGCGGGGAGGCAGTGGAGGAAAATGGCGTCGTCGGGCGCCTGGGCGAAGAGGGCCTCGTTCACCTGGTAGCCCGCGAAGGCCTTCTTGCGGACGTCGGCCTCGTGCTCTTGGCCCATGCTGGCCCAGATGTCGGTGTAGATCGCCGACGCGCCATCGACCGCTTCGACGGGGTCTTCGAGGACGGTGAGCTTGGCGTCGGGGCTCTGCGTGCGGAACTTGTCGAGTAGATCGGGCGCCATCTGGTAGCCCTTCGGCCCCGCGATGACGAACTCGACGCCAAGCCTCGCGCAACCGTGCGCCAGGCTGCGGGCGACGTTGTTGGCGTCACCGATCCAAGCAATCTTGCGGCCCTTCAAGTCGCCCCCACCCTGTTTGGCAAAATGTTCGCGGACCGTGTAGAGGTCCGCCAGCGCCTGGCAGGGGTGCGAGATGTCGGTGAGTCCGTTGATGACCGAGCAGTCGGCGTTCTTTGCGAACTCGGTGACGGTGTCGTGGCGTTTGCTGCGGATGACGACCACATCGACCATCTGCGTGAGGACGCGGGCGAAGTCGGCAAGCGATTCGCGCGGGCTGCCGAAGCCGGTGTCGGCGCCGAGCATCAGACTCGAGCCGCCGAGGTGGGCCATGCAGGACTCGAAGCTGACGCGGGTCCGCAGCGACGGCTTCTCGAACAAGAGCGCCAAGACTCGCCCCGGCAACAGCGGCTCGCGCACCCCTTGCTTCAACTTTTGCTTGAGGTCGGTGGTCAGCGCGAAGATCGTTTCGATCTGCGCGGTGGTGACGTCGTCGAGCGTGATGAAGTGACGCATGGGAATGCGGAAAGGGTATTGCGGAATGCGGAATGAACGCTTCGCAGGGGGAGTAGTCGCTTCGTATCGACGTGGGGCGCTACGATCAGCTCGCTACGCCGCGGAGCGCGTCGATGAGGATTTCGCAGCCCTCGTCGCACTCGGCGTCGCTGAGGTTCATCGCGGGGAGCAGACGGACGACCGTTCCCTGCGTGCAGTTGATCAAGAGGCCGCGCTTCATGCACTCGGCGACGACCGGCGCGCCCTCGACGAGCAGCTCGATGCCGATCATCACGCCGACGCCGCGAACTTCCTTCACGTGCGGCAGCTCATCGACAAGCGGCGATAGCTTCGCCTTGAAGCGCTCGCCGATCTGCTTGCAGCGCTCGAGCAGGCCTTCGCGTTCGATCGTCTCGAGCGTGGCGATGCCGGCGCGGGCGGCGAGCGGGTTGCCGCCGAAGGTGGCGGCGTGCATGCCGGGGCGGAGGCTGGGG